TATGCTTCCTATTTTCCCTATCTGCACCTCTTGTTTGAGGTGATTCATAGTGTTCCAGAAGAATTTTCAGGGGAGATTTGTTCCCTTCCTTTCACTATGATGGTCTGTCTTATTTCTTCTGCTCTTTCCCGGCTCACTTAGTTCCTCTGCTGTTGGGTCAGAATACACTCATTATCAATGAACGACTACATACTTCTTATCTGCTTCCATCAGAATCACATCTTCCAATTCCATGCTCTTCCCTTCTGCATGATGTCAGCCCCTTATGCATTTAATTGAGTCATAAGGACCTTCACTCATGAATTTCATGGCCTAGGACTAAGATTCCACTTCTACATGGATGATTGGCTCCTCTTAGCCCATTCTCAGGAGGTATCCTCTTCTCACAACTCTCTTCTTCTTCAGGAGGCTGCTTGGTTGGGGTGTCTTGTCAAGATATTCAAGTCCTTTCTCATGCCTACTCTCATCCTAGTCGAGCTCAGCCTTCTCCCCGTTGTCAGCAAGCTATGAGTGTCTTGTCACCAAAATTTGCTCTTCGCCTTCTCATCCTGCTTGAGAAGTTCTTTTGCTTTTGGGGACTCTGGCTTCCCTGTAACCCCTTATTCATTTAGGGTGTGCAAACATGCACCTCCTCCAGTGCACCTTACAGAACCACTGGATTCCTTCTCGGGATCCACTGTCATCAATTGTGAACCTACCCTCTCCTCTACTTGAGGAACTGTCATGGTTGCTGGATCTGGTTTTCCCCTACCACCCCCAGACTAGGTCTCCATCTCTTCATCAATGCTTCCCGATCAAGTTGGGGATCTTCTCTGAATGGTCACATGACTTACGATGTTTGGATGTAGGACAAGCATTCACTCCATATCAACATGCTCTAACTTCTTGCTGTTTCTCAGACATATTCCCATTTTCTACCCCTATTGGTGGATCACTTGGTTATGATCCACTCTGACAATTCCAAGGTTGTTTCCTACATCAACCTTCAAGGGGGCACCCATTCCAGGACTCTTTACTTTTAAGTATTGGACCTACTCTTCTGACTCATTTCATGTCAGGTTTGTCTTCTTGCCTGTCATTCTGTGAGCTATGGACCTTGTAAAACCCTTTCTCTCAGCTGGACTGCATTCTACCAACATAGTGGTCTCTAAACCTTCAGTTCTTTAGTGGAGTTTGCTCTCGGTTGGGCACATCTCTCATATATGCCTTTGCCACTCCCTCAACTCGAAGCTTCCTCTTTTTGGGTCCCCTATTCCTCATTTCTTTGACCCTGGCTGTCGATACACTTAGCCAGGGCTGGTCATACTTTTTTCTATATGTCTATCCTCCTTCCTTGGGCCCTTGCCTTGATACACAACACTCCTTATTGAGTTCTATTGGTGACCTCTTTGGCCAGCTAAGCATTGGTTTTCTCTGTTTCTTTACTTAGCATCCAGACTCCCCTTCCTCTATCCAGTGACCTTTCTCTATTGCTTCAACCTAACTCGCACCTTCCTTTATATCAGTCTATCATGGAAAGTGGCAAATCTTTCATTGTTGGTCCATTCACCACTCCTTTCCTCCTGACCATCCTACTGTGAACCATCTTTTTGCCTTTTCTACCTGGCTGTTCCATCATAGTTTGTTAGTCTCTAACATTGCTGGTTATCAGGCAGCCTTGTCCACTATATTTTGACTTTCTGGGTACCAAAGGGTATTTTCATCTTCTGTACTCTCCAGTCTGTTCCACTTCATCATTCTTCACTGACTTCACCTAATTTACATGCTTGACTGGGATCTTAATGTAGTTTTGCTCACTTTCATGCATGCACTGTTCAAGCCATTGGCTTCTTACTCTTTGTACCACCCTTCTCTCAAGACTTATTTCCTCCTCCTTGACTCCTGCAGTTGCTGTCATTTGGATGTCTATGTTATTGATGCATCTTGCAACTTCTTCCACAGAAATTATATACTTCTTTATTCAGGCCGATCTTTCCTGTACTAGGACTTCTGCTGCTTGTGAAGGTAACCATACTTTCTCTCCTATCTCCCTTCCTTCTGCCTCTCACCTGTATGATTGTTCAGATCTGGATCAGCTCCTGTGTCCTTTTTGAGCTATTCAGTGTTAATTATCATGGATTTCTACTTTTTTGGGTTCCTGTCATCATCTGTTTATACCTTGGTACCCCTCTTCTTCCAGGGACCTCTCTCCCTCTATCCTTACTGTATGGGTCTGTCAGTTATTTTGGTTGATATATTCTTTTCAGGATATGGAGGCTTGCAAGCTTTTTCACATTTTGTCACCTGCCTTACTTTTGCTTCCAATCTTCACCGGTCCTTGAATGAGATCCTCCAGGTAGGCATGTGAATAACTCCACATATATTCATCACTCATTATCTTCATCATCTGGCTATTTCATCTCCTGCAGGATTTTGACTTCACCCAGTTGCCATTCTTCTTCAGTCAACCCACCATCTTTGAGATGGGTAAGTATGTTTTTTTTCCTTTCTCTTCATTCTGTCGCTTGGAATCCCTCTGTGGGCTGGTGTTGCCTCCTAGGGTATGCTTATTTCCCAAAATCCACATTAAGCCGGGATAAAGGAGTGTTCAGCCCACCTGTCCTGCCTCTACCAGAGTGCACTTTGAAATGGGGTGTTCAAAACCATCTGAGGTATCCTCATGGTATGCAAGTTTACTCAGTTGTCTGATCCAGATTGTACCAATTTCATGGATTACCATGGGAAAATCCAGCACCAGTCTTCTTTGGATTGCACTTGTTGGCTTTTAAGAATAGGGTTTTGCAGTCACCAATTGCACTGTCTTCAGTAAAAGACCTTTCTGGCTGGTAGTCTGATGGGGAACTGGGCACTTCTCTGAGTCTTCCCAATGCAAATTCTCCCCCATCTTTTCTTCAAATGGAGCATGGAAGACCCTTGCCAATTACCAGTTCCTAGCTGCTGGGATGGTAGACCATGGAGAATCTTCACTGGTTGGGCTTAGCACAATATGGTGAGAAGTAGGGTGGTTCTGACACTGTCAGTGTAGTATGGGTCACTCCTCAAACAGCTACTATATCCTTCTCCTGCAGCCAGAGTTTGTCCAGTAGAATCGAGGTGAGCACACATAATATGTTCAGAATGAGCTTGAACCACACTACACATTGGCTATTGACTACTTATGTGTGGGTGCTCTGTTGGTCATGATCACATTTTACCCATCCCTGCAACACATCAGACTCTTTTACCTTTTTCTCCCTTTCATCTTGGGGGAAGATCATACCCTGGTTGATACAAGATGCAGTCTCCCATGGATGTGTCCCTGCCATTGGGTTTCACACTCCATGGGCTTTCTTTGGGTGCTTTCTGAAGGGAGTTCATTTAGGTACATTTTGGCACCTACTCCTAAGTCACTTCAATGTGGGAGTCTAGCTTTTCTGTGTGTAGAGGTGAGATATCGTCTTGGAAGTTAACATTTTCAGATTATGAAAATGTATTTCTGAGAGGTATTCACCTCTTCACACATTCCTGCCCGACCTTCTCACTTCCAGTATACTTTGGCTCCTTTAAGAGTGAAGTTGTCATGGGGGTAGATGTGTAGGGAGAGGTACTCCACATGGAGGTTATGTTGCCCTCTTATTGGTGGAGGGCTATTGTCTTATGATGATGTCATCATGCACCAGTGCAGTTCATGTTAAACATTTAAATTTAAGTGGGAGTTAGCTCAAGGCTAGTGGCATGCAAATTTCATAGGCAGACATGTGAAGGAAATAGTATTTCTGTGTAAAGAGGTGAGTATCTATTGGAAATGCATTTTTGGATTAGGAAAAATCTTAACTTTTGTATGTATATTTTCCATTTATTTTATTTAATATATAAAAATTCAAGTTATTAGGTTAAAAAAAACTTAAATACTTTTTTTTTACCTTGAGTAATGAATAAAAATATATGTACTTAGATGTTGCATGACGTAACCTGAAATAATGTTTACGCTAAAATTCTCGACACTCCTACTGAGTAAATTATTGCTATTCTTAGTAGTTAGACATGGTCCAAGAATAATAAAACAATTAAATTAAAGCAAATGTAAACTGTTTAGAACAATCTGCATTCACTGTAGAAATAAAAAAGTGGGTAAGGCAGATTTATTTTCCTTTTTTTGTGAGGTTTAAAATTTCTGTTAAATGAACAGAGCCTGTTTAGTGTTAGGGTAGAGAAAAATAACAGATAGATATAAAATTTTACCAAAAAAAAACTTGATATTCATTTAGGAGGTTCTAGAGGTTAGTGAATAAAATAGTAAAACGAAAAAAAGTACTTTTATTCTTAATGTGAAAATCACCTTACACTCAGAGTGTGAATGAGACTGACTAATGCAAATTCAGTGACAAGTCTTTAGTTGAAATATTTTATTAAAAATTTGGTTTTCTGTGTTTTTGTGATGTTTACTGAAAGCTTATCAAATTTCTTTAAGATACATTTAGTAAATTTGTAATTATAGACTCTGTAGTAGATATTATTTCTCCAATACAGGCTAGGTTTTAATGGACTGATGCTGTGCATGTAGGATTAAAGAAGTTTTCTCATTAAGTAGAAGCAGTTAAACAGTGATATGTCTTTCGTTGCTGAAAAACATAGTTTATTTGATTTCTTAATTTCTAAGACATCATAATCATAACATGAACATTTAAGCTTCTTGGTGTTAAAAAATAGATTGGGCAGAAGATATATGATCCAGGATCCAGTTTTGTAAAAGTAATGTTTTTATTCTATTCTTTATGTACAATATTCTACCCCTTTCTCTCTCTCTCCCTTATTACATTTTCTTATGAAATATTATATGTATGGTGTTTTGAGTTGTCTTACTTGCCATGTTTTACTGTGAAGTTTTAGACATGGTAACTTTTCTGTTCTGCTAGCTTTGTTATGTTTTATTATCTTAATTTTCACATGTGTTCTTTATTTCATATTAAGTAAAACAGGAACAAAATTTAATGATTGTATTGAATTTTTATAACTGACAGTGACAGTGAGGATGGGGGTGGTAATCCAATGGTGGCTGGATTTCAAGATGAATTGGATCCTGAAGACATTGTAACTCATCCCATCAATGAGGTGATCCATGAAGAAGATGATGAGGAAGATGAAGAACCAACTTATAAAAATGTTAAGAATGGGAAAAAAGAACATAACTTCTGTGTAATTACTACAACACAAGAAACAGTATCGGGAGGTAAGAAAAAATAAAAGGTATTAGAATTTATCTTTTATGAAGTTGAGTTTATATTGTACACCTGGATCCCTTTTGTAACAGCTTAAATAATTCCATTTTCAAGTTATTGTTGTTATATAAAATGGAGGCCTAGGAACAAAAGTAGGAAAAAATACTTTGACTATCATTGATTTTTTATTAGAAATTTTCAACTTTATATGAATTGAATCAATACTGTAAAATGGGAACTTGCTACATGTATAGTTTTAGTTTAAATCATTGCAGTTAAAATGAAAATATCAACATCTATATGATTAGTAGTTACACACAAAATCTAATGATTTTTTTTGTCAAATACACATTTTTTATCAATCATCATGGATATTAAACATTTATTTGCACTACTAATATCCTTAAAATTTTGTCCAATTCTAGGGATAAAATTAAAATATCATTAAATCTTGTCTACTTTGTCTTCTCTCAACCTGTCTTATTTAATGCCTATGATAAAGTATACAATAAAGTCTGCATTTGAGCTGTCACACTTGTTTTTAGTTTTCTTATATTTGTGAATCAATTATCAGTAGAATCAGACTCATTAATTGCAAGCAGTCTTTCATAGTTGTGAAATGTTTATTGTTTTTTTCACATTTTTCAACTAATTTGGCCAGACAGTGCTGAATGTCATAATCTATATCACTATTTGCTCATAATGTTAATCTGCTGAATTACATGCCTCGTTGTTTTTGTTTTGTCATAACATAGTGAGATAATTAGATTTCGTATTCTAATATCATTGACAAAATCCACCACTCTGAATACAGGTTAGTTTTGAGTATGAGCCTTTAATTGTGCACTGACTTATGCAGACATACATTTTGACTGGGATTATATGGAAGAATTATTTGGTATTATATGAAGAAATCTTCTGAGATTTATTTGGAAATTACTAGCTAATTTCATGCATTTTATAATCTCTCTCTCTTTTATATATATAGATGAACCTGATCTAGGTCCAGCATTGATACCATCTCAACTAAATATAACATCTGCTCATCCCAAGAAAGAGGTAAGGCCCCTTTTTTAAATAAATGAAGCTGATTTGTATGTAAGTGTAATTTTAGTTTTATTATAAAGGACTTAGAGCAAGATCCTTCTAAGATTTATTGAATACATTAAATAGTAGTGTAAATATAGGGTTTCGTGATAACCAAATGATTTTTATGAAATTTTCAATTTCTTTCTCTCTCTCTTCGTTCAGAAGGTTTAGTACATTATGTTGAAACAATTTTAAATATTCAAAACAGCAAGTCGTACGATAGTCACAACTAGTATAAAGTTACAGCAGTAGATTGTACATATCAGAAGTACATTTTGAAATTGCTTGGCATTTCATAGGTAGTGTAATGCCACCAAAAATTGATTCCTTTTGGAAAGGGTATGTAACAACCCATTTTGATGCAAAATATTCATACACTGGGATCATATAAATGTGTTCAGATGTGGGATTTATAATTTCCAAGATGGAGATATCCCTTGTTCTTAATGGCATTGGAAGACAAAAAAAATGTGCAAGCAGAAAGAGAGTTGTGACAAGTTGTACCCCAGCCACAGTAAGCAAAGTTTGGTATCATGTAACTGGTGAGAGTCCACAAAAAATGATCGATTGTAAAAGATGTCCATGTGTCAATGATATATCCATGAAAGGAAGACCAGCTGTAGAAAACTGTATGAAGAGTAACTAGCATGGAGAAAATGGCAGTATGTGATATCATTCAATAAAGCATAACACATCTCTTGGCAATTTCTACCAGTCAATGTGGGAAAAGAAATTTCAGAATTTACATGACATGTCATGAAACTTGTTTTAAGGGTTTTATGATCATTGCTGTATTCTGCAGCAGGGGCAAGTTAGGGATCAGGAGAATGGATACAAAGATTAAGGTAAACTCTGCATACAACCAGACTAATGTTCTGTACCCTTTGTATCACGCAGAAATAATTGGCTTTGTATGGAAACGAGGTCAACAGGGCATAAGTTCCTCAAGATAATGCTCAAGCATCTAAAGAATGAAATAGGTATTCATGCTATTCTGTATAAAGACATGTCCTCATACACTAAATGAATTATGGAAACCCCTCGGGGAGGAGTGGTGTGCTTTGGACATGACAACTTAAAGATAAAGTATTTTGCAGTGCAACTATGCTGCGGTGCTATTGTCAAGATGCAAAGTCATCTGATAGAGCCTGACATGATCTGTAACAGTATGGTCAGGCTCCAGAATTCTTTTAATATTATGTAGTTAACTGTCTGTAATAGCACAAATATACTATATTTGTATTTTATTCTCTCTTTCTTCATATATATGGAGAGAAACTTGACTCTTTAACTTAACAGTTAGACAGTTTATAAATAAAAGAAAGGTTTAATTTCAGCTGGCATGTATAGAGTTGTGACTATGTACTACTTAAAAAAATTGAGCTAAGGTTTTTAACTTGAAGGAAAGTAAAAAAATATGAGAACTATAGTATTCTATTTGAAAAATAATATTTTAATTGTGGGGTACTATCAGTTTAATAAGAGAAGACAGCTGTTATTTATTATGATGTATGCACAGTAAGGTTAAGGAGTTATTTAGTTATCACTGAAGCTACAAATCATTTAGTGCATCAATTAAAACTGAAAAAACTACTACTATAATATATTTGTAGTGAAGCACAAGTAAATCTGAACGTGAAAATTTAAGCATGCATAACCATGATAATTTGAAAGAGTTTATTTGAGTTGATATAATTTGTTTTGTTCAAGGTGTAGATGACACTTATAAAAGAATTTTCAGAAGATATTTAAAGTTTCTTTCTGGAAAGACTAAATAAATGAGTACAAGTAATATAGGGTAACACATATGTTTCTTTTTTCTTTCAAGCAATGTTTTACTGACAATGTTTTGTAACCTATAACAGTGATGTGTTCTGTAGATGAATTTACTTAGTGTTTTTAGGTGTTAATTTTTTCTGTGTAAGAAACTTTTCCCCCAAAGTTTTTATCACAGGTACCTAACTTATGACTCTACAAAGTTGTTGACCTGAGTAACTAATATATGTATCTATCAAATTGTTTTCATAGTTGCCCTGTCAGAGATACAAGTTAATTATGATTGCTACTTTTCTTCACTGACTATTGACAGGATAATGTAGGTGAGCACAATGGAATTCTGTCTCCCTCCAGTGATGATCTATCACCTTCTCATCAGCCTGAAGTAACTCAGTTTGTTCGGTTAGAGAATGAAGACTTGAGTATTTTTGAAAAAGGATATGGAATTTGTTATGCAAGTCCAAGTAACCCTTCAAGTAGTAAGTATGGAATGTTTAGCGGGGATGAGTATTGCCAGAAATTTCATATTGCAATATATATTACTGTATTGCAATACACATTGCAATATATTGCACAAAATCTTTGCTTACTGAGATAATTTTGTCTACTCATTGGTTACCTAGGCCTTAGGTTGTAATATTATGTACCATTGACATATAACGTGAGGTATGTCATTAATCTGCGTACAGCTTGATCCAATCAGAAACTGCCAAAAAATGGTGACTATAAAATAATTAGATGTTTCTAAATTAGTACGTGTGTTTGCACCTCACCATCCATGTTAACAATGCATTGAAGTTGTAGAAATCTCCAAACTGCTCTTATAATGTAATAGTATTAAGGTATCGATGGTTGTAGTGTCAAATGTATTTAACAGCAATATTTTGATAACTTGGCCACAATGGTATGATAGTTTGGTTGAAACCACTTCCATTATTAGCTAATCTGAAGATTGCTTGGGAAACTTAAATTATAAACTAATATAAGGATCGTCTAAAACTTCCATACCACAAATTAGATAAATATACTATTAAACAAAGTTGTTACAAGTTTGTATACATGTCATTCATACTTCTTTGTTTAATGTGTAATGTTTGTAACTAAAGCTTTTGTGATTTGAAGCTTTAAACAGAACTTTTTGTGGCATAAACGTGTCAAAGTAAACAAATTAACTTTGTATGAACACAGTTGCAAGACAACTAGTAACTTGTGCTTGGATTGGTAAGAAAATACATAGCTAGACATTTACAATACTTATTTTGACAAATCATTTGATCATAAAAGGTTTAAAAATGTTAAATCTATATATATTGTTGTCCTTTCCTAGGGTTAATTTCCTTTGATAAGCATGCTCTAAGGGCAGCATGTTATGATACCTGCAAGGATCACTATTGAAACACAGGAAGGCGAGGGGTTAGAAAATCATTAGTTGAAATCTTATAGAAAATACAGTAATCAATCTGTGATGACAAACGTTTTTCAGCAATTCACACACTTAATCCTTTGCAAATAAGTTTTTATATTATTGATGGTGGGCATTTGTAGTCTTTTATATAGTGTTTTTTTATTGATCACTAACTTTACACTAGAAATTATAAAAAAAAACATGAAATAATTCTTGAAATTTGTGAAAGTATCATGAAATAAATTGGGAATTATTCTTGAATTTCTGTCTGTTGAAAATGCAAGAACCCTTCAAACTTTAATTTGAAAAAAATATACTGTGAAAAACCAGTTTAAAGGAAGTGTACCGTTATATGCATACTGCTGGGTTGTTAGCCACAATATACCAGTAAAACCATGTGTTTTGTAAAATAACACAACAACTAGGCACATTTTTTAAAAATGTTTTTATCTTCATAGAACTGATATATGGGGGGAAGCATTTGCTAATAATTAGTGGCTGATGCTTTACCATATGGACATGTATTGACTAAGGCTAACTATTGATAGCTTATCTATCTTGAGCTTGTGTATAAACATATAATAGTTGTGGGTTTAACAGACGTGGTACACTATATAAAATATTCGTTTTAACAATGGAATTAACCATTAGTTTTATTTCCAGAGGCTTTTGAAGTATGATAAGAAATGTTTTTTGTGGAACAAGATCAGGCTGAGAGTTGTAAGACTTAGTCTCTAAGTTCTTTTAATTGTTGATCACAAGGTTTCATTAAATATAGTTAATAAGTTAAAACCTGTTTTATGCAATTTATATATATACATACACACACATATATATGAAGTGATATTCTTTGCCATTTCATGCACTTACTTAGACTAATAAGGCCTAACAAACAGCAGCATTGTCAGCTAAACAAACCTTGATTTTGTCATTTGCAAAATGATTACTTACTTATAATTTTGGTATGGTAAAAAATGTTATGTTAATTATACCCCAGTGATTGTAAGGATGGAGATCCTGCATGCAGTGCTTTTTTGAATCAAAACAAATAGAAAATATACAGCTTTATAAAATAAAAACTTTACTGGAAAGCTTTGCAAGAATGTATTAAGACATGAAAATTAGTAAATTGTGTTGAAACCTTAAACAATAAGTAAGCATATTTTGTTTCTCTAAAAAAAAATGCACATCACAACTAGATATTTTGAATTTCCAAAGTTGAGAATCCATAGAAATATCACATATAGAAATTAAGATATCTTATTTTACAGAAGCTACCTTATTTTAAAGACGATTATCATAAGTTGCAATAATGATATGAAGTTTTTTCAGTGCAGTAGTAAAACAAACCATATGCTTGGTGAGGTGAATCAATAAACATAAAAATGTATAATAATTGCCTTTTGTTTTTTGCCTCTTAATTTTAACAGCAGCTTAAAAAGCTCAAATGCATTTCCATAACTTGTTTCTATTGTAGGTACTTGTTTTTTTCATTGAATATTTATTTTTTTATCTTCATTACATATTTTATATATATTTATTATTGTATTTGTTCACTTTTATTTCTTTGCTACAAGTACATTTTAGATAGCTGTAAGTGTTGTAATTATAACCTAAAACATTAGTTCAAAACTAAAACTTTCTAATTTTTTTTTACCAGTTCCAAGTCGGTCTTCCCCTAGTGCAACTCCTGAGGGATCTGAAGCAGTTAGTGAGGACTCAAGTTCAACGAAACCTAAAAAACATAAAGATAAGAGCAGAGTGAGTGATTCACTGTTTCTCAGATTCTTCTCTGTATTTGCTTAACTTATTAATAGAAGATCATTTTGAAGAAAAAGACTTAGATTTTTTTAAGGCCTTTAAAAAGAGATGTTGTATAGAGTGTTGAACTTCATTGTAATTTATAACCAAGGGAGAAAAAAAGTTTCAAATTTCCCCATATCTAAAAGCTCTTTTACTCAACTTATTAGTAAGTGTTGGTTGATTAAAGTTGGAATACTGCTGCAAAAGCAACATATTGATCTTACTCATCAATGGGGAGTTATTTTACTGATTGCTGCAAACAAAAAAGAAAAGAAATTAAGGAACGTAAACCTGTGATATAATAGTTGGAAAGTGAAACACCTTAAGATTACGTTAATTCTACCATGGTGGATGACAATGGCAAAATAGGAACTCCCTGCTTTACTTTTAGAAAAACTTATTCATTCACATCAAGAGAAGTGGAGGAAGTCCTTTCTGAAGAAACAAGATTTTCCTCTTCGTCACAGGCAAATTTTAAATGATATGGAGGAAATTTCTTGTGCTTAATGCCAAATATTTCTTTTAGGTATCAAAAGGAAATTTTATCTCTCTTCAATATGAGGAAATTTTAACATGAAGGGAATAAGATATTTGGTCCATTGGATTTAAACTTCCACAATTGCTTTTAGTCCTAGACAAATTTCCTTATATCCAAGATATCAGGATGTGTCCTTTTTTATCAATCATGGTTATAACAGTTACTGTTGATTTTGACATTGCTTCTATAGATATAAACTGGCTCTTTTCTTGATTAATTAATTAGTCTGATTTTCAATTTAAGTGTTCATGTGTTATTTCAAAGATATATAATAGTTCAGCAATAAGCTACATAGAAAAATTGATGACTCACCCTTAGCAGTGCAGTAGTTATCGTGTGCACATTTAAACACACAACACAGGACCCTAAGCAAACAAATGATGGTAAAAAGTAACTAGTTGTTATTGAAATATGGACAGTTTTTATCATTACCAGTTTTCATGAACTAAAAAGAAATATATTTTTTAATTAACAGTACTGTGAAGTTAGATATAAAGTTCATGTGATTGAGATTAAAATGTTAAATACTTTCAGCAGATTCAAATAAAAAATGTGTCTTTAGCTCACAACATTTATTTGTGTAAACTCCATTTTTTTTTCTTTTGTGAGTTTGGTAAAGAGTTACTGAAGAATAATTTCATTTGTATGATGCTATTGTACAGAGTGAAGAAAAGCACCATAAGAAGTCCCATAAGCATAAAAAGCAGAGAGAAAAAGATAAGCCTGAGAAGAAGGATACAAAGAAGAAAAAGAAAAAGCATCAAAAGAGCTCAGGTGGTGACTTGGATGATTCATCTGATCTTGATAGACTGGAGGAATTTCTTGGATCAAATGGGCGAGTTCCAGAAGGCAAAGAAGCCAGTATTTATGAAGAATTATGAAAAGTATCAAAGCTTTGAAATGCCCTCCAAATTGTTCAGATGTGTAAACAGGTATTCTGTGATGTTGTAGTTTTGTTGCTGAGAAGGTATTGATTGTGTGGAAGAAAACATTCAGTATAAATGTATCCTTGTGAGTAAAAAGACCTGTTACAACACCTCCTAAGGTTTGAAGAATAGTGGTCTTGAACAAATTAATGTATACTTATTCATTAATTAGGAAACAAGAAGTAACTATTTCTGAAGTGTTTTGAGTTCTTTTTTTTATTATTTCATTGACATTTCAATATACTAAAAATGCTACTAGTTTATTGAGATCTTTACTCAGATAATGAACAAAGCCAGATGTGTGAGTTGTTTACTTATTACTTGTTTACATATTAAGCTGATAACTTTCCCAGAAGTTAAAGAAAGATATGTAGTTGAGCAGAAAATAATTAAAGTTTTTTATTTACTTTCATGGTCCTTGAAGCTGTAGAATGATGTGAGTGAAAATTATCAATGGCATAGCCAGAAAATGATGAAGTACATTTTGCTGCTGAGCTGTAGAATAGAATTCATGTACTAAAATGCTTAATAGTAATAACAGATAACAAGCATTAAAACATTGAGGGGAAAGTGAAGGATTTGCCCTCATCCTAGTCTTTAACTATGGTAGTTATGAAGGCTTAACTTTGAAGTGATGCAGAAGTAGCCAGAAATATACTCATTTCATTTTGTATTGTTCTTATGGGATAGGTATAGCTATAGAAAAGAGTGAGGGGAGATAATCAGCAGAAAGGTTATGAATGTTCCAATTTTTTGCTAAATTATATAATATTTATGGTTGAAATACCAAAGAAGCACTGTTATCAATGGCACCACTTCTAACAAGTCAGAAACTGAGCAGTCCGTTTTTGTAAAGAATGACTTGCTAAAATTTATAAAAAGTTATTTTATAAAGTATGCTCTAAAGTTATAATAGTTTGGGCAACTGACTTAATATAGTTTACAGCTCCAATCTCGGTACCAAAAAATACAAGTTAAATTTTTATATATATTAATATTTCTTAAAGAAACATCATGTTCCATGTTTTGAAACTAGTGATACTTAACAAGTAAATGTAAATTTCATTTTTATTTTTTCTTGGATATTTCTGATGGTCTGATGTCAACTTTTGTGATTAAACATTTATGAAGATATCTTTGTGTATTTGAAAGTACGCCAGTAGTTTGACACTTTGTAATAAGTTTCTTGTCTTATGGAACCAGTAATATTTTAAATCTTTGATACCTATTTACATATTTCATAAATATCTAAACTTGTGATTGTGTTTAGTATATATGGTACTGAAAGCTCTCATAATGTAAATTTATTTGTTTAATTTTTATTAAGTTGTTTTTTTCAGTAGCTACTAGATTTCTACATGATGTTTGTTGCCACAAGCATTAAACCCTTTATTTGTAATACAGATATATTTATAATATTTTAAATTTCTATACAGTATCTCTGCACTTTACTTTGCAGTTGCTTTCTGAGAGCTAATAAGTTTCTGCTCTGCACTTACTAGTAACATCCTATGGTGGGTCAGTGTTAACTTTACAGACTTACATCACTAAAATCTAAGGTTTGATTCCCTACAAAGGACAGAGATCAGATAGCCTACACACTAGGCTCAAAAAACAACTTGCCACTAACATTACAGCTGTACAGTTTATTTGTTGTGTATCTTCACAGAATATCTCAAATACCTATTTGATGTCATATGGATATCTTAAGTTTTGAGATAATATGCAAGTAAATATATGTGGTTTAGGGAAATTGTATGTTGGTTTCCTGTTAAGATCTTAAATAAATATTTATATGATTTCTGTTCAATTTATGTTTCACATAGATATCTGGTGTTTTTAGCTGAGATATATGCATTTCTTTCACAAAAAAATTGTAGTTTTGTTTCTTTCCAAAACTGGTTTATAATATATATGATTTCTCTCCAGAATTTTAAATATCCAGGTGATATACATATAACATATGTATATGTTTATTCATATATGTTATGATGGTATGAAACATTACAAAAAATACTACATAAACATCAGATAGAACAAGATATTCACAAAATCAGGATTTTTACAAAATAATCTGCTCTAAGAAAGAACTGTTGAAATACAACTTCAAATTTTTTCATAAATTTAACATTTGCATGCTGAACTTTTGTTTATAATCATCATTAAGTTAATTTTATGGTAAACATTTTATTTAAAAAATAAGATTATATGTTTTATGGTAACATGCCTTGTTTATAAGATGGGCTGTAGTACGAAGGTATCTAAACAAGCTTTACTTTTCATAGTAATTACCAATAAGTTAAAGAATATGTTTTGTAATGTATTTGCCTATATTTTATATATAGCTCTTAATTTCCCTTGAAGCAACTTAAAAAGATCTGTAAGATGTACATGATGTAAGTACTACTACTGCTTGAGAAGTTTTTTATATTAAATTATTTTGAAAAAGTCATAGGATATTATTGATTTGATAAAAAAAGATGTTGGGTTAATAACATTTAAAAGAAAATAGAAAAGATACAATTAACTAAAAAAGTTTAGTAATTTAATCACACTGTAGTTATTATGTTATTGATAAAGTCGTGCATTACAGAGATTGTTATTAATTAAAGAAACAGAAATGTTTTGTTTATTTAGATAAGTTCTAGTTGTAGGCTTAAAGACGTTTCCCACTAGTAACTGTTGTTTGATCAGTTTTTTTCTGTTCTAATGCTTGAGAATGTATAACTGTCACCAACTGAAAATGAGATAGTAAAGAATTTGATAAGTGAGGGGAAATTTCTAGTTTGAATTGTTTTAATAATATTTGATATTCATTATCACAATTGGTTATTAAACTTATTATTTTCTAAATTGTTAGTAATTTTTCAATTTTAAAACTAGTAAGGGGTTAAATATCTAATATGCTTCAAGATATAAAAGCTATATGTCAAATATATAGCTACCTTACAAATTTTAACACAAGAACAAAGCAACAAAAGTATTGATTACATGAGTTTTATGATTTCCTTTGTAAATAATGTTTGGGATGCTAAATCTTTGCAATTATGAAGAAGAAATTCAAATAGTTTCAATAACTTAGTGAATAAAATATAAGCCTTTCTGTTGTTATGGTATTTAGAAATTTTATGATTCGAGTGCATGCAATAATATTTTACCTAAATTATAGTTTCAGATATAGTGATCTGTTAGTGATGAAATTTAATTTTGAAACCTAAGTGTTGATTTTCTTGGAACAGTCGTTAATTCAAAATACTCATTTTTCATTGACATAGAGCTTTTTTTCAGAATTTGTCACAAATTTAAGCAGACATTTTTAAGACAGTTTCAGGAATTCGAAGTAATATTACTGTTCTTTTAATAAAGAGGAATAAAAGACAGAAATAAGACTTACCTTTTTATAGCAGTTCTGTTTCTTGTAGAGTTTAAGATTAACTCATCAAAGATAGAAGTATACAGTATTTGATGTTTGCAGTAATGCAATAACAGAAGAACTGTACTGGTGCATAAACAGTTTTCAATCAACTTATAATTTGTGACCAGTAATGGCTTTTTGCCTCCTCTCCTCCCTGAGAATAGAATGTACGTGTTAGATTGATGTGAGCTACTAAAAACTATTAGAAATGACATATAATTTTCATTCTTGGACTTAAATATTAAATGTGTGGAGGGTATTAGACAATTTTGTCAATATATTAATGGAAATAAGTAAAAAAAAATAATTAGTGTTTCCATAAGTTAAGATCCCACCATTGTAGCTTCAGTTATGTATAACCAATAGTAAATCTAAATATATGTAGAGAAAACATGAAAGTACAGAGAGTTATTTAGATAGCTTTTATGGACATTATATTTCCTAGCATTAGTTGCTCCTGGTAGACTGAAACTTCTAAACAAATACAAAATGGTGTATTTAAAAATTTCAATAAAATTGCTGTACAAAAAGAATAAACTACAACTCCAAAGTAGGCTAAACAAAATTCAAAACCTAGTATCGAAAACCCCACAATTTTCTCTTTGAATAATTACATTTTACAATTTGTAAAGACTCACTTGTATGCTCTCAAGGAATCTTTATCAGGAGAAAGGTATTTTCAGTATCTTGTTCTTACTTGCATGTGTTAATGTTACCATTTTAATTGTGCCCACTGAACATTGACGGTTTATACTAATACAGACATTTAATTAATAATACTTGTTAATATTTTATAATACCCAGTTTTTATTTTAGAGGTGATTATTCTAGAAGTTTAAGACAAAGAATGTTCCACTGCATTAGTTTTTTTAGTATGTCACTGAACATAACAATAATTTGCTGTGTATTACACATACAGTAACATTGATAATTTCTTTGGATTTAATTAGTTTGATATATGGTTAAATCATCTGATTCACTTGGAATTGTGGCCCAGCATGGCCAAGGAGCTTGACTCGCAATCTCAGGGTTATGGATTCGAATCCA